GTTCTCAGGAATATTGCTCATAATTGCAAAATTGGAAGCATTTCCTTCCATTTGATTTTTTGGAAGAGTTTGTTAAAGATTAGAGTTAATTCTTTAAACATTTGATAAAATTGACCAGTGAAGCTCTCTAGGCCTGGACTTTTCTTTGTAGATTTTTTGCTCACATAATTTGATCTCTTGTTACATTAATTTTTTATTTCTTCTTGAGTCAGTTTTGGTAGTTTGTGTTTTTTCTAGATCCATTTCATCTAGTTTACCTAATATGTTGACAAATGTTCATCGTATTCTTTAATAATCATTTTTCTTCATTTTGTTTGTTTGGAGGTGTGTTCAAGACCCAGGCTGGTCTTGAACTCCTGGGCTCAAGCAATCTTCCTGCCTCAGCCCCCTGAGTAGCTGGGAATACAGGTTCATGAAACCAATTTTATATCTTATTAAGAACTATAAGAGGGGAGTTTGAAGTTTTCAAACCCAAATGATAAGTATATAAAGTGATGGAAGTGCTAATTACTCTGATTTGACCACCACCATAGTATAGTATTGAACTATCATACAGTACCCCACAAATATGTACAATTATTATGTGCCCATGAAAAAGAAAAATGTTATGTGTTAGAAAGTTAATTCCCAGTGTAATAGTGTCAGGAGGTGGATCAATACAGGGTGATTGGGACACGAGGGTGCCACTCTTCTGCATGGATTAATGCCATCATTGCAGGAGTGGGCTAGTTATTGTGAAAGTGGATTGTTGTAAAAGTGGGTTCTGTCCTCTCTTGTCTCTCTTGCACACTGGCTTTTGCCATGTGATGACACAGTAGAAAGGCACTCAGCAGATGCAGCCCCTCGTCCTAGGAGTTTCCAGACTGTAGAATGGAGAACCAAGGAAACTTATGTTTCTCAATTTCTGAGTGCAGAACGGCACAACAGGGACTAAGGCGGGGGGTGGGAGGGTGTTCTGGGGTCCCTTCAAGCTTTGTATGCTATTTGCAGGGAAAAAGATACAGTAAATCTGAAGTAAATATGCTCTAATATACAGAAATGGCTCTAAGACTGTGCAGGAGACATGTGCTTTGGTCAGCTGTCCCCAGCAGAGAACGTGGCCATGTAAGATACTACTCAGTGTTTGTATTCATTGCTTTTTTGGCAGTGTTGAGAATTAAATCCAGGGCTTTGCATATACTAAGAAGACACAGCTTTACCCCTGAGTGACATCCCCGCCCTCCCTTGAATTTGAAAGCTGTCCTATGATGCCAGTTTGTGTTATGTGAATTTGAGGAAAGATCCCTAAATTGTATTAGCCAGAGTTGGAGATCAAAAAGAAATGGATCCCATCATCTAAGCCTTTGAGTGATGCTACAGTGAGGCCTAGTTTAGTACCAACAAGAGATTAATGAGCTCATCTAAAAATATATGTGCCAAATATCATTTTATAAACGTAGGTGATGAAGTGCAGAATGGAAGGAATGAACTTGGTATAATAATTACCTGCTGTTTCCTTCAGTCTTGAAGAAATGAATTCTGGAAATAATCTCTGTTTGATGGTTCAGGGTAGCCTTTGACCTGCCCTGGTACAGAAACAACTTTATTTAAATTTTTAAAATAAAATTTTAAAATTTTAATAATAGGGCTGGGGATGTGGCTCAAGTGGTAGCACACTTGCCTAGCATGCGTGAGGCACTGGGTTCATTTCTCAGCACCACATAAAAATAATTATTGTGTCCACCTAAAACTAAAAAAAGATATTAAAAAATTTTAATAATAGTATATATCAATATTGTATAATATGGTGTTTCAAAACATATACATGAGGTGTAATGATGAAATCAGGATAATTAGCATATTTATCACCCCAAATTTATCCTTTTTTTGAGATAAGAACATAGAAAAATCCACTCTATTTTGGAATATGTAATACATTATTGTTAACTACAGTCACTCTGTGGTATGATAGAACACCAGAACTTATTTTTCCCATGTAACAGTGACTTTATACCAGTTGAACAACCTCTCTTCTGCTATTCTCCCCCCTCCCTTTCTGGTCTCTGGTAACCACAGTTGTACTCTCAACTTCTTTGATATGCAGTTTTTAAGTTTCCACATATGAGTAAGATCAGGAGTTATTTGTTTCTCTATGTCTGGCTTATTTCACTTAACATAATGTTTTCAGGTTTATCCATGTTGTCATGAATTATAGGATTTCATTTGTTTTTATAGGTGAATAATATTCTATTGCATATAGGTACCACATTTTCTGTATCCATTCATCTGTTGATGGACACCTATGCTGATTCCGTATCTTGGCTATTGTGAGTAGTGTATCAATAAACATGGGGAGTGACTAGGGAAGAATGGAGGAACTTTGGATTTGGCAGAAGATAGTGAGGGGGAAGGAGGGGATATGAGGGTGGGAAAGATAGTAAAATGAGATGGACATTATTACCCTATGTACATGTATGATTGCATGAATGGTGTGACTTTGCATGGTATACAGCCAGAGAAACGAGAAGTTGTGCTCCATTTGTGTACAATGAGTTGAAATGCATTCTGCTCTCATGTCTAAATAATTAGAACAAATAAAAAAATCAAAAAAATAAACATGGGTATGTACATGACATACTGATAAGTCATTTTCTTTGGGGATATACCCAGTAGTAGGATTGCTGGATCATATGGTAGTTTCATTAAATTTTTTAAAAAAATTAATTGACAGATAAAAATTGTATGTATATATTTAGGAGTATCATATGATGTTTTGATACATGTACACCTTGAGACACAATTCAACCCATGACACATCACTGCTGCCAATGGTACTTTCATTCTCTAGGCTGAGGCATAGACAAACTTCTAGTGCTTCTTCCTCCAGTTACTTATCCAGTAATATTCCCAGTGAGATAGTAGGAGGTGGAAACACAGAAAGGCCGAGTTCCATTTTTTTGGCCTGAGAAGGTAAGATCATCTTGGTCTTGTAATAATTTCTTATGTTAACACAGTTCATATGTTTATAGAATGATGTAGTTTTAGAAAATATTGTGCTCATTAAATGGAACCTATAATCTCTCATACAGAGCTGAAGAAACTGCCTTTCAGAGGGCAGGTGATTTGCACAAAATCACACAGCTATCAAGTCCACAGAATTGTTCACAATACACTTTGACTCCTCATCCAGTGCTTCTTCCACTTCAGAAAGTATACTCAAGGTCCATATGACTAAACCATGATGCTGCTACTACCCTGAAAAAAAAAGATACATGATGTTTTATAGGTTGCATGTGTCTGAGCCTTACTGATTCTGTCCAAGTACAAGTTACCACAGGGGGGCGCTGTCCCAATGACTTGGATCTAATGTGTCTAAACCCTTTCATATTTCAGGTCTGTACAAGTGTTCTCCAATCATCAGGTTCCTCCTACATACTTCTTTTTTCCTTCATCTGATCCCAAGGAGGAGCTGGTTATTTATGTTATGCCTTGTGATATCTTCTCTGTCAAATGTTAGTAGAGATTATCAGCACTCACTGATTTTTTTTTTTTTTTTTTTGCATGAGAAAATGGAAACTTTTGTCATTCAGAATGCTTTGGACAATTTTAGTCCTGAAAGAGACACATTCCAAATATTTCCTTATAACTTTTTCATTCCTATATTATATGAGCAAATAACTCAAATAACATGCCACTATTTAAAATTTTTCACATTAATGTGAAATCTAACATGTTTACGACAGCATTTAGTTGATTCAGTTAACATTATGGTATCTTTTGCCTATGGATCTTTTCATAAAGGCTTTTTAAAAAAATATTTATTTTTTAGTTTTAGGTGGACACAATATCTTTTATTTTATTTTTATGTGGTGCTGAGAATTGAACCCAGTGCCTCACGCATGCTAGGCGAGCACGCTACCACTTGAGCCACATCCCCACCCCCAAAATGCTTTTTTTTAAAAGTAAATGTGTATGTTACTGTTATTGAGTTTATACTATGTTTATTTCTTTTTATTTTATTTCTTTATCTTTTTTAAGATGGGGTGTCACTATGTTGCCCAACCTGGTCTTGAACTTGGGATCCTCCTGCCTCAGCCTCCCAAGTAGCTGGGATTGCAGGCATGAGTCACAAGGCGTGGCTTTACTGTAACAATATATCTTTTCAAGTCATATATGTAATTTTATGCAAGTGATTTCTACTGGCCATGGTACTTTGCATGTGGTTCAGATGGAAAGAAAGGGAAAGTGAAGGAACTATAATTTATTGCTGAGTGTGACTCTGAAATAGATATTCTAGTCCCTGTTTTCTCGATGATGAAACTGAGGCTCAAAGGAGTGAGTATCCCAACATCACAAGCTGGGACAGCTGAGATTTGAATTTAGGTCTTTCAGACTCTAAACCTGTTTTGTTCTTCTTTGTCACCTGCATTAAATGAGGTGATGATTTGTTGGGAAGTGACTCTACACTAGATGTCCCACCATCGCTGGTCTGTTACAGACTAGTGAAGGGTCTGCTTCTCTGTTAAAGATTTGTTAAATGGGGTCTGAGATGTTAGACATGGATTTGGTGGGATCACACATGGACACCAGGTGTCAGAGGATGGAGAGTCTGGTTCAGACTGCCTCATCTGCTCTTCTTTGGAATGAGATTGGGATTCCCTGGTTCATCTTGGTTGCATAGAGATCAAGGGAGCATTTCAGGGTATAGAGTACCAGCTCTATGAGGGTTATGCTCAGAGCCATGAGTATCTGTGTGTCCTAGAGCCAGACAACTACAGTAGATGACCTCTCTCTGGGATTGAGAATAAGGAAATTTGTGGAATCTACCCTCTTTATGTTGGATTCATTTAGACCAACTCTCTAAGGGGTTAGACCTCAGAAAAGAACCAAAAATAATTTGGCAGTTTTTACTCTCTATTCTTGGGGAGTCAGTTGAACTTTGAGCGGAAGCCCTACCCTGAGCAGAGGCTGCCCTGCGACTGGCTGCTCTCCCCATGAGGAAGTGTTAGGAGTGGGCCCTGGCAGCTGCTGCTTTGCTTCTCCCCTGGTTCCTATTGTAGTACAGGCTCAGAGTCAGCAAAGCAGCCTCGTCCTGAACCCTAGTTTACACCTAGAATATGAGGCAGGTGATAAGAGTGACACTGTTCCTGATCCTGGGTGAGTTATTTTTGGATGAAGAGGAATTGGAATCTGGGCCTGAGGATTCTAGATAGGGAGGGATTCACAATCTAGTCTGCTACCAATTGCTCTTCATCCAGGGGAGAGTTTTGGGATTCTATTTTTCTCCTAAACCTTTGTGTGAGGTGTATATTAGGGCAGTAAAGATGTTCTGGGTTACAGATCCTTAGGGTCTATCATTGAAAGGGAGAAAGCAGACCTACCAGGAATAAATGCAAAGAACATTTTTGTCCTGAAACATAAATGAGATGTAAAGTGTATGTGTATGTGCATAGGGAAGCAGGGTGTGGGGTGGGGTGGATTCGGCTATGAGAGAGAACTGTGGGGGAGCTGAGTGGGGCCTTCTCATTTACCTTGTCCCAGGATGGAAGTCAGGACTGTGTTCACTCCCACAGGCACTTTAAGCCTTGCGAAGACCACCCAGCGCATCTCCATGGACGCCTATGAAGGAAAGGAAGTGAACATATCCTGTAACCACACCAACATTGCCACAAATGAGTACATCTTCTGGTACCGACAGGTCCCCCACCAGGGACCACACTTTGTCATTCAAGGATATAAGACGAATGTGGCAAATGAAGTGGCATCTCTGTTTATCCCGGTTGACAGAAAGTCCAGCACCCTGAGCCTGCACCGCGTTACCCTGAAAGACAGTGCTGTGTACTACTGCACTGTGGGTGGCACAGTGAGACAGCTGGGTGTGCACCTGTGCAGCATCTCTGTGGGAGAGAGTTGCAGCTTAGGGAGAAGCCCAGAAGCAGGGTTTTCTAAAACTTCACTTTATTTTATTTTATTTTTTTCATTTTCAGAAGGTGTTAGCAAATGTATGTATTCTTATTATATTTAAAAATTTTTCTCATTAAAAATATAGGCATTTCCTTTATGTGGCCTAAAATAAAAAAAGTATAAAAGGGCATATAATGCGTTGTCTTTATTCCACCATTGTCCCTGACCATTCAGTTATCTGAAATGATGTAGCTTACAGTATTGCTGCTCAGCTCACTGGTATTCCTCAGTTTTTGTGTATAGACGCCTACACATATATGTGTGGCTTTGCACACACATACACAACTTTATGTACACTACACATACTTTATATCCATGCTATATGCAGTGTGGACAATATGTTTCCCAACTTTTGAGAAATTCAGCCTGTCAGTTTATTATTTATTTTTCCACAAATTTTGAACATTTCTATTCATGTTCAAGTATCTACAAACTGGCTTCCATGTGTCCTTTGAGTTTAAATCTCTCTCTCTCACTCGCTCTCTCTCTCTTCTGTCTTTCTCTTTTCTTTGTTCCCACTGCTGTTTTGTGGGTGTGTAAGGGAGAACCGAGATGATGGTAGAGGAGGGAATGGGGAGAGCATTTGTTTCTGATTGGCATTATAGACTATTTTTGCAACACCTGAATCAGAAACAGAGTTGGTGACATTATTACTTCTCAGAGTCGACTCTGTTGCTAGTCTCTTGCTAGTGCTTCTGGAGTGGCTTTGTCAGAACCATGAGTTTCTTTTTCTTTTTCTTAAAATTTTTTAAATGGTATGTTGTCTATGATTTTTATGACAGGGACTAGTTGGGTGCAGTGGTGCAGCCTGTAACCCCAATAATTCAGAAGGTTGAGGCAGGAGGATTGCAAGTTCAAAGTCAACATCAATAGCTTAGCAAGGCCCTGAGCAACTTACAGAGACCCTGTCTCAAAATAAAAAATAAAAAGGACTGGGGATGTGGCTCAGTGGTTAAGGACCCCTGGATTCAATGTCTGGTATCACTCTACCCCCCCACCCCCCACATAGGGTTAGACCACTGAATAGGAGAGTATTTGTTTTCTGGCTCAACTCTCAAAGTTTGGTGAGGGAGTGGCCCCGTGTGGGTGTGGGGGGCAACTTTAGAGTGTCAGCTCCTACAAACCCATCTCCTTTGGTTGACATCTTTCTAGACAGGGGTTAGGGGCTTATACTAAGTGCAACAATATCCTAGTTGCCAAAGAAGCTAGCTCTTCTCCCCAGTGCTCTTAAGAAGACCAGTATCCAGTATATCCAGTACTTCTTGGATTCAGACATACGTGTGTGTGTGTGTGTGTGTGTATGTATATGTGTGTGTATATATATATATATATATATATATATATATATATATATACAATTATATATA